TAAAAATGGCCTTTTTTATACAGGATAAACTAAGTTGCATTCCTGAGTGGTAGTGTTGTCGCGCGATGCGAACGAGCAAGTTTCCAACTCTTTTTGGAACTTAATGAGACATAGGCGAGGCCAAAACTACAGTCCAATCTGAGGGAAAAAGTTTTTTGAGATGCAAGGTTAAGTGAAATTAAATGGCATTGTGAGGCCATATACGCACTGAATAATGGGAGATTAAACCATCAATCCTTAAATCACCTTGAAAGATCAAGACTAACCGGAGTCGGCATTCAAAAACTACAAATAAATTCGAAAAATATTTACCTGCTAGAAAAAAAATTGCAGAGCATCACTGAAATGATTAATAGGTACATCAAAAGATATGTGAAGAATGATGAGTTTACCCTATAAAATTTCCTTAAAAGCGAAGAAATGAGATGTGAATAATCAACTTAGCCAAATATTAAAGTAATCAATAGTTAATACAGAAGGGAGGTATATTGCGACTGGAAAATAAAACAATGCATATATATAGGCAAAAAGATTAAGATATATAAATATACCAAAGAAATGACACTAAATTATCTTTTCTTACCAGATCTACCTGACTCTAGGAACGTAGGTAATGGTCTTCGTCTTCGCTGGCCTCCCGACATTGGGACTAGTCCCATCGAGCCAGAACGCTGAATCTCCTGGCCTGAAGCCGAAGCTGTGGTAGATAATGCCCCACTAGTAGCCATTGAGGATGTGGTACTTACTGCCGATGTAGTGATGGCGATTGTATTACTAGAAATATTAGTCGATTTAGACCCAGTTCCAGTGACGACTGCAGTAGGGACGAAAGAGGGCAGATGTGGACGGGCCAGCAAAATAGATTCAGGTTGTCCAAGAAGAGAAAGCACAGAAGTGCAAGTCTTGCTAACAAGGCTTGTCGCTAACTGAAGCCAGGAGTGCAAAATTCGGCCACTTATGGGCTGGTACTGACGTCTATGTGAGCTAACTCCTAGTGACCCGGAATGACAAAATGAAGGACGACTCGGCGAAGGTCTAGGACGCGCTTTGCTCAAGTAGTAAGTGAGCAAAGTGCGCGTAGTAATTGCGATCTAAATACCAGATAAATTTATGATAAAACATAGTATGGTGATAATAATCCAGGAAAAAAATTTAAACAAA